ATTCAGCTCATTTCCCTGTTCTAAATAAAAACGTAATTTCTTTAAGGAATGCATGTAACTCGCCTCCTTGCTTCTAAAGGTTTTAAATCAAGCTCCTGTGTGATCTGTTAGCACAGAGCATGTGTTGGGGATGACTCTCAGCTACTCCCAGTCCAACCTGCACCTCCAGTAAAAATGATTCTTGTGTCGACTGGTCGTGGCGTCCGTCTTGAATCAGGTTGACTCAAAAAGTTAATCCGTTGTAGACGTACATCCAGAGATTTCTTTACAATCCTCCCTCTGGTTTATGAGATATTTTGCTAACAGAACAATAAGTCCACACAGATAAGGGTTACATGATCGCCCACCAGCAACCTGCTTCAAACGCTCTGCAGCAGTTATCAGCCGGGCTTCTCCAGAAACTCCTGTCGTGGCGTTCTGAAAGCCCCCCCCCCCGGCTGTCCCGGTCCCATCGGGTCCGTTCTCTGGACCAGTTGAGGCTGCGAAAAGCAGACGGCCGAGGGTTCTGACAGCAGGCGGGTTCTGAGTCCGGTGGTAGGAAGGATGAGTCAGACCGGGGGGTGGGGGGGTTGAACCGAGTCATGGCAGCCTGGTGCTGACCCGGAGCTGGTAAACTACAGTCACGTCTCAGGAATGGACAGCTGCTGCGCTGGAAACAGCAGCAAAAATAAAAATATTCATCCAGGAAGCTCAAAGACACATTCCAGCCTCCAGGAGCCATGACGCCCCCCAGGAGAATACAGGGGCTCCTGTGGCAGCACCTGCTCCTTTAACGTCACTTTAACGTGACCTGAACAGAAACGTGCACTCACACAAAATATATTTCACACCAAGCAGCACGACGAACTAGTTCCACAAACTTCACGCTCATGAACCCCTGAACGGAAACGATCGAACCTTGCACAAGCACCTAGGGTTAACCTCATTCAAGATGGCTGCCAAAGCTAAACGTCCCACGAGTCAACCATTAAAGCGGTGGTTCTCAAACTGAGGTCCCCGGACCCCCGGGGGTCCACGAGCCGGTGCTTGAAAAACGTTTTTCTTTTACAAGCATGTAGATGTTCAATAACCTGTTGAAATTCACCAAAATGCAGGAAATCACATCTACTTTATTCTAATGTTTTTGGGGGAGAACCCCCAGACCTCTCACCGGAGCAAAAACCCACACTCCACCCAGAACGCTCCTGGACTGGGGTTTGAACCAGGGACCTGCTCGCTGACAGGCAGCAGCTCTACCAACTGCACCACCGTGCTGCACATTTATCATGTTCTTTATGTAAACAGGTAAAGTCCGTGCTGTTAATTTTCTCAAAAATGTAAATTTGAGAAGTTGAAATAAAAAATTTTGTTAATTAAATGTCTTTAATGAAAAAATAGCCCATGTTTAAAAGTATAAAAAATATATTAACACTATTAAAGAGCAGGTCTTGAGTATTTATGTTACAAACTATATTGCATTAAAGAGACAAATTGAAGACAATTATTAAATAACCTTGAGGGCGGGGGTCCCTGAACCCCGATCTAAAGCACCCACACCTTCCCGTAAACTTCTGACGTGGTCCCGATGGATGTGTCTGCAGGTTCTCTGAACATTTAGAAAAAGTTTCTCTTTAAATTTTACTTGTTTTTTCTCTAATTTTTAATCCGGCCGATCATTTTCAGAGGAATGCGTTCGTTTCTGGAACGTTAAGCCGCTTCGCTCTGACCCATGAACCGTTCGTTCGCAGAAAGCTCAATAAATCAGAGCTGTGAGAACAAAACAACCGACCGAAGAACTCCTTTTACACAAACGTTGGCCTTTCAGCCTGCAGCTCAGAAACACTTCCTTGTTTTATGGATTGAATCTACATTTGCAGCAGTTTGACGACTATAAAGAGGATTTCAGCAGCAACAAGATGACACCGAACATCTGTTGGTCGAGGATTCATCGATATGTTCTGGTTTCTCAAATCAAACAGTTCTTTGTCTGCTGGAGTTTTCTTGTTGGGATCTGTGGTTTTGGTTTGTGTCAGATTCTGTTCGTCCATTTTCTCCTTGTTTGGACACTTTCCTGTGTTCTTTGGTCTCTGCTAAGGAGGGTGGAATGTGATTAAATAAATAAATACTTCTTGAAATAAATAAATGTAAAAGTCCAGTTACATAAATAAATATACTATGAAATAAATTAATGTGCCAACAAGTGCTCCATTCAATAATTAAATGTATCATTTAATTATTGAATACATAATTAAATTATTAAATACACAATTAATTAATTAGATGCCCCATTAAATAGCTAAATGTACCTTTTAAATAATGAGATTAAATAATTAAATGTCAATTTCAAGAAATAAAAAAAAATACATTAAATTATTTCACTGTGTATTTATTTATTTCATGGCTCCTGTGCAGCAGAGTCATCATGAAATAATAATAAAAATAATAACACTTTATTTGTGTAGCACTTTCTTAAACAAATGTTACAAAGTACTTCACATTAACCAATTAAAACATCATCATAAATGACACCACAAGCACAAAAAGTATACCAAATTATTTAAAATACATAACAATATAAGACTAAATGAAAATAAAAATATGAAGAAATTTAAATATTAAAAGCCTTATTATACAAGTAAGTTTTAACTTATGATTTATAAGAAAACAATGAAGAGGCCTGTCTGATATTTATGTTAATTGTCAACATTTAATTATTTAATGGGACATTTATTGGTACATTTATTTTATTGAATTATGTATGTATTTATTTAATTGAATTATGTATTTATTTATTTAATTTTGTCACATTCCACCCTCCATACTCTCTTGTTCCTTTGCTCCATCAGCCTCTTGGATCTCAGTCAGTTCGTCGCCTCAGCGGTGCCCCGCCCACTCCCATCTGTACTCCACCCACTCTCATCTGTGCCCCGCCCACTCCCATATGTACTCCACCCACTCTCATCTGTGCCCCGCCCACTCCCATCTGTACTCCACCCACTCTCATCTGTGCCCCGCCCACTCTCACCCGCTCGTGTTTTCTTCAGACATTGGACGTTGTTGCCACGACAGACTTTTTGTTTTCTTCATTTAGACTTTAAGGTTTTATTCTCGAGCTCCTCGAGCATCGAGCATCACCGTCTTTAGACCCAGCGCTCCGTCTTTTGTCCTTCATGTGTCCACCTTCCTTGGTTGAAGGCCGCACTGCAGACCTAGGTATGAAAAACACTGATTGATTGATTGATGGAGTTTGTAATCAGAAGTCAATTTTTCCAAGTTCCCAGTCAGAAAAATCCACCT